CACCGGCGCCCGTCGGGGATGTAGCCCCGGCTGGCCCCGGCCGGGTTCAGGAGTCGAGCGGGCATCGGCTGTCGTGGTCACAATTAAAAGTTTCCTTCAGTAGCATTTTGTTAGAAATTTTGTCACCCTCTTTGGTCGGTCTCCGGCAGGCACCCGGCAGGTACCCAGCAGATTCTCTGACGATGTCTTGTATTGACCTATACGTAATGCAGAATTCACGTATTTGTTGTGATCATTTGATCTGTGAGGTCACACATTTTACCCGGGTTTACGAAGTACACACCTTTATTCTGTTCATCTGGTCTGTGACGTAAGAAATGTGTCCCGGTGGAATGCCGGCAACCGGAGGGGTACCTCTCGGTGTTCTCACGATGAGGTCACGACGTCTTTTTGTCAAAGGGGCCCGGGTACAATTTAACTCAGAATTAAATTCTTATCGGGGCCCCGACGGGCCAAAAAATAGCCCGGTAGCCGCAGGGTGCCCCGCGGGGCCACGTCGGGGTCCCGCCCGAAAGTGGTAAAAAACAGCCCGGGAACTACCCGCCAGGGCCCCTTTTCCCAATTGGGACCTTAGCTTTACTGTGGTACTTCTCACCTTAGTTTTCCCGCGGATTCCGGGCGCCAGAGCGAGGAAGGCGAGCGCCAACACCAGCACCACGATGACGTAAGGGAACAGCTCGCTGGCGAACATCGTCCCTGTCCTGAACTCGGGGTAAAATGGCGGCCATCCGTCCAGTAGCCCCATTCTCTCACAGTCTTTTTCTGCCAACTTTGGAGAAAAAAACGTCATGAAGCCATACAGATTAATCTGAATCGTAGACTTCCCCTTTCCCGTGGAGAAAAGACATTCAAGTTGTTTCAATTTTGACAGCGTTAATATAATAAAATATAATAAAATAAAAGATCAAAGCGACCTTTATTTAATTGTATAGCTAAGGGCAATGTACGGATATGTCTACAAATGCCTCTGTTCGGCTTGACTCTTGGCAAATGTCTCTACATATAGATAAATTACCTGTCTTTACTTGAAATCGAGTTGAGCTGAGCGGGTATAGATAATGATCTCGTTGTCACGATGAACTTTGCGTCCAGACGACACACCTGTGTGAGCAAGAATGTTCAACATCTGAAACCTGTCATGAAGTACCTTCTCTTGATGAATTGTTATTTTACACGTGCTCTTCACGTGATCGGCAGCCACTAGATGCCTGCCCCTCGCTCGATCCCTCGTAGGCAGCAGTTCGCATTTAACGTAAATTCGTAATCTACATTTGATCTAATCGGTGAACGACCTTTCTTTGTGTACGTGCCAGGAATTGGTGTGCTAAGGTGTGGTTAAAAATGTCATCACCCCAACATTTCCTTGATTGACTAAATTATTCCAGTATGGTATTTCAAGTAGGCATAAACTATTCTTACATCTGATGTTGGTCCTTCTATGATATTCGTTCAGCCAAATGCACTAAAATAGCGATTTACACTATGGAAAGTCACAGAATATCCACTTTATGCGCCACTCAAAGGTATCCGTGATGTTCAAATTGTTCATGTCAGAGGTGAAGTTTTGACAGACTAATTGTTTACGAAGTGACAGATTACAGATCTCTTTCCATGCAGAAGTGATTCCGTGGCGGATCAGCACTGAAGTATCTCTCACATTGTCGTCCGATTTGTGCCTCACAGGTGGGAATATATTCAAATATATACAAATTCTTTATCGGCTGAGTAAAGGTTTTCTAAGTTTATTGAGATACCATACAGTACGTAGAGACGTTACTACAAACATTGTTTACTATTATTTACTATAAACAACACAAAAACTTCGTCCATTCTTGTGGCTATTTATAGGCGCGTGCTCCCATGCATAACACCGCAACAAGGATTTTATCAAACTAGTACGGAATTAGGGGTAGGTCGGAATTAGGGCACCCCTGTTACCGAAAACATAACGTTTTTGGCGAAGGTAAATGAATTGGAGCACAACCTAAACATTTTCCTAGTCTCTGCCCTGGGGGTGTATGTACGTAGATTTACCGACTTGCCTTTTACGTTCACATAATTCTTAATGTGATTCGGAATCCAGGGGTGCCAGAGTATACAGTGCAATTTTACGGAATACAGCGCAATTTTACGGAATACAGTGCAATTTTACAAGTATACAGTGCAATTTTACTAGTATACAGTGAAATTTTACGAGTAAAACTTTACGAGTAAAACTTTACGAGTAAAATTTTACGAGTAAAATTTTACGAGTAAAATTGCACTGTATACTGATACGATTGCACTGTATTCCTTAAAATTGCACTGTATACTAATACGATTGTACTGTATTGCGTAAAATTGCAGTGTATTCCGTAAATTGCACGGTATTCGGTAAAATTGCACGGTATTCGGTAAAATTGCACGGTATTCGGTAAAATTGCGCAGTATTCCGTGAAATTGCGCAGTATTCCGTAAAATTGCACTGTATACTCTGGCACCCCTGTAATCGAGACTTCAACGTAATTCGTAATCTGTGCCTGGAATTTTGCGTAACTCACAATCCATGCAGGGGGCCGTATAGATTATATTACCTGTATATTGGCTTCACCTTCGATTGAGCTGATCTGAGCGGGTGTAGAGTTAGCCGTCACTGTGAACTTTGAGTCCAGACGTCACACCTATGTGCGTAAGAATGTTCAACATAAAAAAAAAACCTTTCATTCTGACGTTATCGAAGTAGCCTCTGTTGTTGAGTTGTTATTTTACACGTGTGCTTCACGTGATTGGCAGCCACTACATGACCTAACCAGACCGGCACGAAGTGTTCTCATATCAGAGCAGTGGTACACAAAAGACTCCGCTAATCCAAGTTAGGCCACAGCAAGTAATTTTTATGGATGACATCAGCGCGCGCATTAATTTTCGCCTGATTTTGAAAAAAAAAAAGAAAAAAACTCTTGTTGCCTTTTGACAGTGGTCACCATGCCGCAAATAGGCAAAGATGTCTGTTGCCATGTCGGAAGGTGTATGGCAGATAACTATGAAGAGAGGAGACAAGAAAAGGCTCTGATTTAATGTTTTGTTTCTTACTTTGATGCATGCAGTGATATGTGATGTTGGCTATGTATATTTGACGTTCCCATTGAATCAAAACCATTTGTACAATGATTGAGTCAAAATTTTAAAATGTAGCAAACTTGTTTTTCCGGCCCGCCTTTTTTTCGCCCGCTCGAATTAGATTTGGAGTCGGCGGACGATTTCATCCATAAAATTTACTTGCTGTGGCCTAATTTGATGGAGTACTTAGTATGCCAAACCTCAAGTCACTCAAGAAACTTCAAGCTGCACTGACAATGCAACAACGTAACGTCAGCCCCCCCAGTCAGATCTGCTCATTAAAACTACGCAGACGTCTGAAATTGTCCAGCCGAATTAGTAGTGCCGAACAGTACACACACACCTATACAACGTTTATTGATAACAGAAAAGTATGGCCAGGTGGATAATACGCAAGCCTGTAAGGGCTAATTGGTGTCAGGCACTTATATAACGTTACGGCAAGGACATTCTGTATAATGTCCTTGGTTACGGTAATTGGACAAATGGGTTGATCACTTGCAAGTGATTTCAGAAAGCTTTTTTTAGCTTGATAATTATCTAGGTAAAAACCTCACGCGTAAGCTAAGAGGGAAACCAGTAAGAATCGCGGAGAATGTGATCACGTATGAGTAAAGAATGTCGGAAAATGTACCATATCAAAAGATTGCTACCCCCTTCGGTCGAAAGGTTGACCTGAGCAAAATTGTTCTGTCATTTTACACACCCACTTGATATGTGTCCTTGGTGAAACTGTCACACCCAAAAGACCAATGAATGAACATGGAGCTCGTATAACTTCTCAAGGCTAGAAGCATTATAGTCAGAACAGTCTACCTTCTGGTGCTCTCTTGTCTCGGGGTTCGGTGGAAGAAAATCCCGGTCCGCTGAGAACACGTACGCACAGCGCCGGGCACTTTGTCCAGTTTCTATTTGGTGGAATGAGTCACTAAGAAACCTAATCGTAATTTCGGCATGCTTTTCTTTGCGCAATGAGAGGGAAGGGAATTAGAACAAACCACTCATAGCGTGAAAGGGGGGCCTTTATGTGCACTCGATACGCAATAAATACAAAGGTGGGCAGGCAGAGGCCTGTGCACCCCTAACCATGTGGAATAGTCCGTTTTAAAAAGGAGGTAGACGTTCTTAAGGTTGCTTTAATCTTACCTACAGAACGGTCGATGACCACCGAGAGGAGACGCCTTAACTCAAGCAGGAAGCCGGCATACTCAAACCTTCAGCAGTCTCCTGGTCGGACAGCGGCCCCGTAGTGCAGACTGAGGAGAGATGGGGCACGCGTGGTCCCCGCACCATGCCCTGCTCGTGGTGTCTCTCACCTGTGTCATCCTCCAGCAAGCCTGTCGCACAGGTAAGACTACACTTCATCAAAGTAGAATTTGAGATAGCGGTGAAATAAAAGTTTGTTCCTCAATTATTGTTACACATCAATGTATTGAGATATGCAAGATTAACCATCCAGTTGCTTGTGTAATAGCAATTTTCTTGTGTAGAAACTTTGTTAATTTCAAATGTTTATGTATCTTCATGGCTAGGAGTGTTTGTGAATGCGTATACCACATTACTGTAAAACATAATGGAGAGGCGAGTGTTCTCAGTCGCCTCCTGTTATAAGTCGTGTGCTTTTACTCTTGAATTGGCCTTATTGAACATTTTCCAAGGAGTGGGTCCACTGTAAAAACTGTTGCTGAAACAAGAGGCACAGTGGACAATGCTTTACGCTCATGTGATCACATTAGTCTTAGCAGTTAAACCAAGGAGGCTTAAATGAGATCGCATTTGATCCTTCTTGGTCTAGCAAGAAAAAAGAAGTGTAGCCTGTTGTAACCTAAAGGCAATATGGTTGACTTTTTTGACCGCAATAGCTGCATTCCTTACTTGGTACGTCTGCTAAACACATGTGACCAATAGTTTCTTTTTTAATAATTGTTTTTAGTAGTTTGCCCGTTTGTACGTATATCTAGCTTTTTGTATACAATATAAGCATTATTACGCTCTAAAATATTTTTAATGAGTCGTGTCCCATTTTAACCATTGTATGTGTAAATAGAAATTTGAATGTGTAAATCAGTAATTCTCCTGGTGTGTCGTCGTGAGTACTGTCCGACGGTGAGCACTTTGTATATTTGTTATTTTGAACAAGGGTAATTATTTTTTTTAACTAATTAGCACATTCTGTAGTTGCAACCAATTCAGGGCCCATGCTCTGCGAGATGTAACAAGTACACGAAGAACAATAAGCCAGTATTATTAACTTTTATATAATGTAGGATTGCATTTTATATTGTTTAGAACATTACAGGCTAATCGTTGCCATACTTACACGTACACCAAATAATCCACCTGGTCACAAACTGAAGGATTGGTGACGGAACGCATTGTCAGGCACTTCGCATTCCTGTGTCGCGTAAGGCGCTCGTTCAAAGGTAGCACAGAGTCAGACAATTGACGGACAGACGGTATTGTCGACGTGACGTGACCACACGTTGAAATTTGAGTTCCCGGTATTTTTGGCGACGTCTCAGGGAGGAGCCTAATGGTACAGTATTGTGTGCAATTCGCAAGAATTCTAGGAATTGTACAGGCATTTTGTCCACAGGCATGCGGAATGTCCACAGGCATTTCTCTGACCCACATCCATGCCCACATTCCTGGAACCCTGAAGACCTGTCTGCCCCAGATGGCCCTACTTTCTGTGACCCCGGGGCTCGTTCACTATATGCACTCAAGGGAGGGGTGTGCTGTATCTGTCTAGACTTAACCAAAGTCCAAGTACCAAGTCTTCCTCAAAATCATGAAATGATGGCAGTGCCATGCAAACAATAACCCTAACAGCAACCACCATCGCCATGGCAATGTATGTTTTCATTGCCAGTCTTGTTCTGTTACGTTTTTATTCGTTTACAAAGGCTTGCGCGGAGTAGCCTGGGTACCCTCTCGCCCAGTTTTTTTAACGCACGGAAAAATGAAGACGGGTCAAAAAGGCTATTTTCTATTATACAAAATAACAACACTACGTCGACATGCTGCACTCAAGTTGACCAACTTATTTTGCCAGTGCCACTAGCTTGAATAAACAAATATATAATATGTAAATACAAACAGAAAGATGAAAACTGAAGTTTGCCAAACGTATCCCACCCCACCTAATCAAGGAATTATCAATTCAATACCAAGAAGATAGGCTCATTGTACAAAGGAAATCCCACTAGTGCTTTAGGACAAGATCTAATGAATACTAGACCCTTTGCAGTAGCATGCATTCCGGGTGAGCGGCAGTAGTGGGCAGGGTTTGAAATTTGACGCTATGGTCTTGAAAGTCTGGTTTGAGGTTGCTAACCACTAAACCAACGCATCGTATCTGTCTTATTACTCCGGGAAGGAGGTATCCCTCCTGCAGGAGTATTGTGGTCAGTCGGTTTTCGTGTTCGCAGCTAGAACACACGGTTCCCTTTGTTTAAACGGCATGTGATTTTATACGTCGTCTGGAGGCATGCCCATGACGTATTTTTATTTTTACCGTAGCTGTTTTTGAGGTCAATGTAATATTTTAGAAGCAAACCTGAGGCATTTGGGACTGGCCGAAAAAAAAACTGGAAGCCTGGTTACCAAACCAGATAGATTTGCGGAGAGAATGTATGCCTCGGGAGCTATTATAGGTTTGGTAACCAGGCAACTTAATTAGTAGGTTTAAGTCTAAGACGGAAGTAACGATTACATTCGCGCCTTTCAATGAGGCCTTTCAGGACAAATACACGGTCAAAGACGCTGGCTCAAAATTGGAATCCTAATAGCACAGAAAGGAAAATTATACCATTATTTTCAACTGAAGCGTTGCCAGTTGAGCGTTTTGTAGACCGACCATTAGTATTGAGTGCAGATTGAGAGCAGTCTATTCATTTGGTATGTTTGATTTGCCAACTCGAATGTAGTCTCCTGCTATCAAAACACCAACTCACCCTACTACATGGAAAATAAAGCAATAGACTATGTCAACCGTGTTACGTTGCACCTGCTTCGTAACCGTTGAATACTTTACTTTGATGTTGCGGACAAAGGTGTATAGCTCTTGAGAAATTGTTGGTTCCGACAACCTCAGAAAGGCATGATGTGTCTGGCAGGCCAGTAAATGCGCTATTGTACATGTGATAGGTTGTGTGATCTAACCTAGCCTGTTAGGTCATATTTACCTAGGAGTACGAGCACCTGGTATCTGTTTACACTTCTTCTCAAACTTTATAAAGAGAAAAAAATCCGAGCCCTTTTAGTATCCTGATTCACTTCACATCTTGTTGAATAATTACTGCGTACTTTTTCACGGAAAAACTCTTGTTTCTTGTTGCATCGACGGCGCTGAAGATAATCCTAGACATGCCCCGGTGTACTATCATGTTTTGTAAGAGATATCTTCACCCGATCTTCCTGTTATATGCAGTTCCTTGCACATTAAGTGCGAAACAAAAGTTGTAAAACTGCTGGAGAAAGGGTATGATCATGCTCCCTTCTACCGTGGCCGACAAGGACAAACCTGCGTCGCCTGCGCGCACACCTGCGTCGCCTGCGCGCACACCTGCGTCGCCTGCGCGTATACCTGCGTCATGTCTGCAAAGAGCTTCCTCGTCTGCGCACGACTACCTGCGTCGTGTTTGCCAAGAGCTTCCTCACGCCTGCACAGAAAGAGCTTCCTCGTCTGCGCACGAATACCTGCGTCGTGTCTGCCAAGAGCTTCCTCACGCCTGCACAGAAAGAGATTCCTCGGCGACCTCGCTGCGCGCAACGAAAGCTCGCTGCACGGAAGAATACGTGTCACCCCTGCCCTGTTGAAGAATGGACGGTCCCCTATTATAGGTCAAGGGTCACATTCGTTTTTGTTTACTTCAGTCTCAAATTTGTTTTAGTTTTTATGCTTACAATGTCCGGCGCGTTTATTAATCAATAACGGGCCCGTTAGTGATAAAATTAATTAATAGAAATCCTGCATAGATTATGTTAATATTGCCCTTACAACACCTGCCCCCAACAACAGAACCACCTCGTCGTCTTCGATCTTCCCCGGTAAGTGCCCGTTGTTTATTTGCATGAACAAAGCGAATAATTCCAAAGAAACATTTTGAGGACATCCTATGGCAGTCTGGGCATCGATTCTTCCCGACCCGCGACGATATACACGGTTTTAGACCGGATTTGAAGTAGGCGACGATATGGAGGAGGGGGGAGGGGGGCAGGCATATGTAACGTTACAGTATAAATTCAACAAAAGCATAAATTCAACAAAATGAAGCAATCTTCTTTAAAGTAAAATAAAACATAACTAGAGATATCCCTCCAACCTTTTCCAGAATATTGAGGAGATCCATTCATTTGATCCAAAAATACACCTTGTCAAAGTTGTCTTTATTTTTGTCAGCCACATTGTTTGTCAGCCACAATGTGTGAACTTCAGGTGCTGGCATAAATTCAAAAACATCAACTGATCTTCTTGAAACTGAACTGAAACTTGACTACTTATGTCACTCCCACATATTCTGGAATATCAAAGTGATCATGACTTTTGATCCAGAAATATGGACTGTCAAAGTTGCTTAATATTTTGTCAGCCATATTGTTTACAGTGTGTGAACATCATGTGCTGGCATAAATTCAAAAATATAGAATGATCTTCTTCAAAGTCAAACAGAACATAACTGCATATCTCCTATCCCACTACTGCAGGATATAGAAGAGATCCATCATTTGATCCAGAAATATAGACTCTCAAACTTCCCAACATTTTGTCAGCCATATTGTTTACATTGTGGGAATTTCAGGTACTTGCATACATTTCAAAACCACAACAGATTTCTTTAAAAGTCAAATGAAACAAAACTACATATGTAAGTCCAACATATTGCAGGATATTGAAAATGTACATGTTTTTGATAAAGAATTACAGACTTTCAAACATGTTCAATGATTTGTCATCCATATTGTGGACACTCAAAACTGCTTTGGGTGTCAACTATTATCCTAGGGAGAAATTCTCAAACAAATAAAGGATCTTTTCCCAAATAAAGTAGAAAAGTAGTACATATATATACATATTTCTAACATATGTTGTAATTTCAAAGAGATACATTCCTATCAACCAGAAGCATGAGCATAAGAGAATGATACACCTAGTGTAAGCATTGGCCAGGTCCCCCTCCCCCACCTGCATTAAATGTTTACTAAATGATATTCATCAATGTTTGGATTTTATTATAAACACTCATGATCACCTATGAGCTGCACTGCCAATACTAGTAATATTATTGTGGAATAGGAACCCATGATGGGGTATCAACTTAGAAAAAGCCATACAAAGTCATGGTGTATGAATAGAAATGTAATGCATGTACCAGAGGATTATCTATGCAATGTTATGTGATGCAGTATGAAATTTGACAGTATTTTAGTTACTGATTGTCTGCAGAAAGAAAAGCAAATGATTATGGTGCTTTCATCTCATTATTATTCTCTTTATTTTCTAGTTAAAGTACCGGACCAAGGGTGGTACTGGTTTGTTCTACACCAGGAATGTGGAGTTCAACCCTGCCTAAGACACCAGATCACTATCTATTGCTATCTTCCCTTTCATCATTTAATGTTAAGACCAGAATATTTGTACCTTGGTTTAAAATCTGACAGTGTATTATATATATATATCTACGCAAGTCAAGCCATTTCATTGTTGGCATTATAATGTTCTGTGTTATGATATCTAAAGACAAGTATATGTGTATGTGGTAGGATCAATTCTAATAAGACATACCTTAATATATTGGAAGGTTATAGATACATGCATTTTGACTGGAATCATTATGATCATGATAGAAATAACTTGTTACATCACTGTGTACAATTTTTTAAATATTATTATCGTAAACCCAAGGTATTGCCTGTGTTGTACCATGTTTTTTGCATTCCTTTTGATACACATTAAAGACAAAACCTGCCATGCAATTGTCTATGTTGCCTTATTTTTTTATAGATAATCATAGTATGATTTCACAACAGTGGAAGCATTGGGATGACAAGCTAGAAGACAAGTATCATGTTAGACAAGTGTCCAATAATTTTCTGAAAATCATCCCAGTACCAAGAAATTTAATTGGAATGGCCTGAGTATGAATTAAGCATAAATATTTACATATTTTAACAGCCGGACATTGTAAGCATAAAAACTAAAATTTGAGACTGAAGTAAACAAAAACGACAGCGAACAGTGTCACTGCGATGTGACCCTTGACCTATAATAGGGGACCGTCCATTCTTCAACAAGGCAGGGGTGACACGTATTCTTCCGTGCAGCGAGCTTTCGTTGCGCGCAGCGAGGTCGCCGAGGAATCTCTTTCTGTGCAGGCGTGAGGAAGCTCTTGGCAGGCACGACGCAGGTATTCGTGCGCAGACGAGGAAGCTCTTTCTGTGCAGGCGTGAGGAAGCTCTTGGCAGACACGACGCAGGTAGTCGTGCGCAGACGAGGAAGCTCTTTGCAGAGATGACGCAGGTGTGCGCGCAGGCGACGCAGGTGTGCGCGCAGGCGACGCAGGTGTGCGCGCAGGCGACGCAGGTGTGCGCGCAGGCGACGCAGGTGTGCGCGCAGGCGACGCAGGTTTGTCCTTGTCGGCCACGGTACCCTTCCAACATATGACTTAGTCTAGTACCTTCGTCCAGCTGTGTACTTGGATAAATATTATGTTGATGCGGTTATATGGAATACATTTTCGCTAGTTCTCCCCCCAAACAGTTTTCATCCATACAAAGCAGTTGCAAAACTAGAAAGGCCGACATTTGCTTTGGAGCAAATTCAGCATGACCTCACCACATTTCACGACATGGCAGAGAAAGTAGGAGAAATACAAGGAAAAACAATTCTTTACATTGATATAACTATAGTATGAAGTGACAACAGTTGGATAGCTATCCCTTTCATTATTGGTTGGGATTTTTAATTGCATAATGCAAACTGTTGATTTTCAAGATAAAAAGAAGCGTTTATGCCCCGCATTCCAATGCTGGAGCAGGAAAGCTTGACATACCTACCAGAACACTTGAATAAAGTTCATGCTGTCAATTTTGCATGGCTTTGTACAGGTGTTAATTGAGTTAACCCAATCAGATCCAAACAGGCAATCAGCAAGGAGAATAGAGGAAAGCTGCATGCCTATTGGTTGCCTGCTCTACATGCCATTCTGATGACTCATGCTCAAATACGGTAACACACTGATATAGTACATTTTCTATAACACAGCCAAATAAGCTCAAATAATACCATTCTAAAAGCATGTATCACAAAAACGCCTGGGGGTATTTTCCCACTCTACCTTCATGCCAAATTTCATGTTATTTGGCCCCAAAATGAAGTTGAACCAATTTAAAGAAATGGCAGGAGAAGAAGAAGGAGAAGAAACAAGAGCAAAAACAATTTGCGGCATATATGTGCTCATTAGGTGAAGTCATAATGAGCAAATATATGCCGCAAATTGCATTAAAATATTCGAAAACAATACTTATGTCGTAGAATGCGTGGAATAAAATCAATTCCAAAGGAAAAGATGAAAATGGCTACTAACAGTAGATGATAGGTAGTATATAGTATTGTTATAATGTATAAATTCCTAGCAATTAGCATTAGAATATAGCGTTCCAGTATGCAATACTCATGTTTTGCATACTGCATGTCCTCTTGTGCATTTAGCCCATCTGGGCAAGAACATGCAATAAAGATTCATATCATATCATATCATTATTCGCCACAACATACTATGTGTGTTTAGTCAACCTTTTGTTCAACCTTCAGGACCACGTAGATTTCATAATGAAGGCAACCTTTTTTTTGCCAAACTTTTTTATTTGCTCGCTCGCATCAGTGTTTGGGCTTCCAAGAAGATGTCATCCAAATTATCAAATCAAGATAACACCTAAGGCCACCAGAATGATTTCGCCGCTAAACAACAGAATTGCTCGTCGGTACTAGGACGTAATTATGTAATTATGTAATCATTAGCCTAATTAGGAAAAATGTGCAAGCTTTTGTATGTAAAAAGATGAAATTAAAGACCTTTGTGGCAAACTGTTTGATCCTAAGATGCTGAAAATTTGAAGATTGTAGCATGAAAACGTTAAGAGATACAATAAAATGTATGTCAGATATTGTTGATTTATGGTCTCTTTTGGTGCCATGACTAATTAGCCTATTCCCATAGGACCAATACTTAAGCATCTTCCAATGAAAACGTCAAAATAATAAACTTTGAAAAATTCTAGAAAACCTCAACTTTGTCCAATTTTTATGCGAAATTAAGCATTCTGACCGGAATAATCTACTCTATAACCTGGAATCATTTGTAATAATCCTTTGGTGCCCCCCTATTTTTAGTGTGACATCCCTACTAGGAGGTGATAATCTCCTTGGATGGTACGAGAGAAAAACAGTTGATGAATTTCAGCACGATCTCTAGTCTATAATTAGACTAGGAGTGGCTTAAAAACAAACTCTCGTGTTCAAAAAGCATGGACTTAGTTGATACATGGGAAGGCTTCAATCGGAAATTTGATGAACATGGAATGGAAACCACGTCATCGATGGAGGTAGAAAAGAACCATTGAATGAAGCTGAGTGGTACTTGTAATGTAAGGGTTGAAGAAACTCACCATTAAGCCACTTTGTTGTCTTCCTTAACGATTTGAAGACGCGAGAAGGTAATATGATCATTGTGGGAGAAGCCTATAGTTCTAGAAGGTTCCACCTGTGAAAGTGTTGGTGTTTCTGCTAAGCATAGAGTGTGAGTGGAAATAAGAACTCTAGACAAAAGTGACTAAATAGTCGTAACGTAGAAGTATTATATTGCATTTGTACAATACAATACAAGGCAATACTAGCACAGTACGATACAATACAATACAATACAATACAATACTAGCACAGTACAATACAATACAATGCAATACAATACAATACAATACTGGTACAGTACAATACAATGCAATATGTATGTTGCCATAGCCCATTTGAGGCAAGAAGCAAATAGAGTTCAGTTCATATCTCGGTATTACTTAGGTGTATAAATAGGGAAACATTGATGTAATCAGTCTGTAAAGCTCAACTCTTTCCTTGTGTTCCCCATAGCGGCAGGCGGTCCGCACGTGGAGATGCCGCTGTGTGACGGCTGGTACAACAACGCTGCGCACCCGGACTACGGCTCTACCGGTCTGTACCGATCCTGCACCATATATCCTTCACTTTCGACTTTGTCATGTTGTTTTAATGGTGTGAGAACGCCACGTGTCGACGGTATACAAGTGATGTGTTTGAGAGGAAACTATCGTCTAAAAGGGAATTAGAGAGCAAAAATCTCATACCTTCGTCGTTTGTTACTTCTGTTGGGCTTCCTTTAGTAAATTCTTTGGGTGTACGCTATGTCATGTATCGATGTAAATTGTTTCGGCTCAAATCGACCTTTTAGGATACTACTAGTATGTGGTCACACACCTGTTGGCTAACAGCATGTCCTACTAGAATGCATTGACCTAGATTCCAGGATAGCCGCTAGAATGCCAATTACAAAACTTGACCTTCATATTCCCGACCACAACCTACCAACCAAGTATTATGAGAAGACAATCACAACGTCAAAAGTTATCCTGTTTAGTCAAATACCGTATTGATCTCATCCTTCCACGTTCATAAGAAAACATTGAGTAATATATGAAAGGTATACGCATGAGAAAAATCAAGTCTTTCTCCGTTTGTCTCAGGAATGCCTCTGTCCCGGGACCTCCCGCCAGCGTACAGTGATGACGCGTACAGACCGTCCGGTCCCGACCGCCCCAACCCCCGCCTGGTCAGCCGGGCCCTGGTCAAACATCTGGCCAACACCGCCACGGACACTGGTCGGACTGTCCTGTGTGTCTTCTTCGGTAGGAGTTTTTTAATTTACGCAGAAGCTCATTCAGTCCCCCCTTGTCCCACAATAGTTATCGTCTACTTTTTCGTTTCTAAGAACGCCCCTCCTCAAGGTATATTATGGTTATCAAGTGAAATTCTTCTGAAACAAATATCGTCAAATGGCCCAGTCGTAGGTTCTGCTAAGGAGGTAGGCGAATTTATAAAACTTCCTTATTTGCAAAATCGTGCACGAAGGCCAATTGCATGTACAGGATGAGTAAAGCAATAGAAAACATACAACTAGTAGCGTTACTTATACTACGTTAAACTTTGCTAATATGAGACTTGACTTCTTCTTTGAAAGCAGTGCATATTGCCCCACGTTCTGCAAGATGTGATCTTAGTAGAAACGTAATTTTTTTTAAAAGGAAGGGGAGATTGTGGTGACTACTTGAAATAATCCGATGGTCTTGTTATCAGTCATCCTGATATATTCTGTGTACTTCCGCCTTTGAGGGGGGGGGGCAAAGAAGTAGAAACGGTATTCAGACTAGAGAGAAACGTTGTCCCATTCTCACTCGTGATTTATTGGGTAGCTATAGGAGCCGACCAGGTCTTATGACACCACATACACCTCAGGGTGGGTCATTATGCCTGAATTAAAACTAGTGCATGGGTCATACACGGCCGACATAATGCGTTGCTATGCAAATCGTTTATACAATACTATGTATATACAGTGTAGCATACCTTAACCAAATACACGTAAGGCATGTATGTTATACTGAGACATCATTCATGATGATCGGATTAATTACACATACCTTTATGTAACAGTCATCCTGGTAACGGGCGTAAAATCATGTCGCGTTGTCAACTGATCGAAATCAAAGTTAGGCCACCGCATGTAAATTTAATGGATGACATCCTCCGCAAACTCCAAATCTAATGCGCGCGGGCGAAAAAAAACAAGGCGGGCCGAAAAAAACAAGGTTCCTGCATTTTAGAATGTTGACTCAATCATTGTAAAAATGGCTTTGATTCAGTGGGAACATCACATATACACAGCCAGCATCACATATCACTGCATCAAAGTAAGAACAAAACATTAAATCAGAGCCTTGTCTCCTCTCTTCATAGTTATCTGCTATCCACCTTCCGACATTGCAACAGACATCTTTGCCCATTTTCGGCATGATGACCACTGTCAGAAGGCAACAAAATTTCTTGTTTTTTTCCCAAAATCAGGCGAAAATTTATGCGCGCGCATCCATAAAAATTACTTGATGCGGCCTTAATTATCGCTCTCACAAAAACGCGATCACTTGAATCCGCAGGTTTCGTCTGAACTACGCGCAATATCGACACAGTATTGCCAGCTGGAAGTCTGGATAATTTATAACCTGACAATCGCCTTCTTCTAAATTCTTTCCCTTACCCTCCGCACGTACGTGGAAGTAAGTAAAACGACTTCAACTGGGCGTACGTGTTCACGTTCACGTACAGAAGTTAATAGTTCCAAAGGTTACCTGATAAGAGTCCTTACATTAGTATTAACCAATCTTAGCAATAAATGTCAAAACAATGAATTAACCTGTCGAAAAGCAGCCCACACCCTTTGTGACATGTTAATCCAAAACGCCTACCTAACGCGTTTCCCCATAGGTCAGCATGTCGTGGATGACATTGCGGACGTTCGCAGCATCGCCTGCCCCGCGGAGTATAGCAACATAGCCCTGCAACCAGGGGACCCCCTGCACAGCTCCGCGGAGTCTGACAGTACGGAGAAGATCATGCCCTTTCAGAGAGCTGTGTACAGAGCTGGGACGGGAACGTCTGCCAACAATCCCCGACAACAGGTGATCGTCCATGCCTTGTGTATCTTCAACTGCAAAATTGGATGATTTGATAGTGATGAATTAAAACAAAAGCATTCACATTACACTTCCTCCATACAGCTGACAAATTTGGTGTGGCCAAACGAAATTCTACATCTCCTAAACTTCGACAAATGAAAAATTTGTATTATCAGAGACAAGGGATGCTAGCCTTGAAATTAAGGTGATTTTCTTAAAATATATTGACAAAAGTTCAAATACCACACCCTTAAACGACTTAACGGACTTTTTCCTCGTCTCCTTTTATTGATACAGGTTAATGCAGCAACGTCGTGGCTTGACGGCAGCGCCATCTATGGGGTGTCAGAGGCATGGCAAGACAGGTTGCGATCTTTCGTCAACGGGAGCCTGCGAGCAAGTCATGGCGGGAAGCTGCCGGGCACGAATGCCATGGGGCTCCCCATGCAGAACCTGCCGTCCCCCAAGTACCAGCGAATTCACAAGCCGGATAAACTTTACGGTAAGGCAAAAGGGTGCAAGCGGATAATTTCCAAGAACTTTCGGTCGCAAAATCGTGATTTGAACAACGGCAATCACACACAGTATCCAATGATAGCCTCTACCAGGCGTCAGGAAGAGGCCGGGAAAGAGAAGAAATTGAATTAGATAAAAAGGCAGATAACATGCCGGGAGAGTTGGTCCGCTAAAGAGTACAGTTAGGGTTAGGGTTAGCTAACCAACTCCCACAGCATGATATCTGTCTATTTGGCCAACTTCTACTCCTCTCCTTACAGTCGCTGCTTCCCCAAGCCTGATAAAGCTTGGGCCAGACAGGCCAAAGCGCCCACCAGTGCTTGGCGGTTTCAGGCAGGGAGATTTGAATGCCTTAGTGCGCGGGAAAATCCCAACTGAACAAGTAAACTTCAAGATTATCAGTAAACGCTCAAGTGACATCAAATAAGTAACTGCACTAGCACTGTGTTGAAAATCGATAAAATTTTACTCTCCAAGCAGACGTTTGCGTTTTAGCTTATTTTTGTGTTTTCAGGTTTAGGTTTATCTTGTTTTATGTTGGCGTAAGAAAATATACCAGTGCGAAAAAGTAAGTCAGATTAAAAAGGTCTAAAAACACGCCCAAAATAAGCCAAAACCCAAATCTCTTCTGGTTTGGAGAGTAGTAAAATTTGCCAAATAGGGAGAATAATTTGCCAGGGGAGTTTGGTCACTGTAGAGTTCTCTCCTGGCCCGCTATTGTCTCTTTATTGCCGAATTCTATGATCCGTTCCCCAGTGGGAAGGCCAGGTGAAGGTTACCAGAAAGTCACACATCACTACTCCATTTGCCCCGGTCCCAAGTGTTGAAAAAATTTGTTGAACAACGCTTCGACATCCGGGATCTTTCATGTCCCGACATGCCCTACGATGTCCTGACATACCCGCGATGTCCCGACATGCACCTGGCGTGTGTCGTTACCCTTATAACAACCTCCAACAGCCTTTACCTTCTTTTCTCGGTCATGAGAAGTCACGCGGGTATTCCCAGCCCATTAAACTCGTTTGTCGTTCCCATTATCGGGACAACAGTGCCCTGGGGCTAACACTGAGGTGTACTACTTGCGCAGGCGTAAGCGCTGATATCAATATAGGCCATATAGTGGGCGTTTTAATCGACCGGTACGGGCCGTGGACAACAACGCTCGAAAAAGCTGAAACGTAAATCCCCGCAAAAGGGAAACTGCCTCTTTTACTCGCCCAGTTGCAATGCCGTTTTTTCCCAGTTTCAGGCCCCTCATGTAACCTATAACGTTAGTTTCATATTGTGTGGCAGCAATAAATACCTATCTAATGGGTGAGTGGTGTATCTTTCATTTTATGAATGATAGAAGAAAAGCCATTACGGAAGTAGACCAACAAGTATGGTTCACACATGTCTATTCTCTCCAGGATTCACAGAAAGCGCATCACCATGTCAAGCGCATGTTCGTGCACATTTTATAAGGCCACACCGACTTAATTCTATGGTTGACATCCATGCGCGCATTGATTTTCGCCTCTTCTCAAAAAAAAAAAAAAAGAAAGATCACGTCCTCCGAGGCTCTGGCCTGGCTCTTAGCCTGGCCATGGGAAGCCCATGGTAGTTACCGACAATACGGAGCCGGTGGTAACTCTGGAGGATGGCACCCAGGCTACCGAAGCTCCACGACTCAAGAACTCAGTACACACGTACAGTGCTGATTCATACATTCCGCAAAAAGCCAGCATGTGCCGGCTTGTTGTATACGTCGCTATGTGCTGCTGCACTGATTCACTTTGTATTCCTGTGGTTTGGTAGCATTTTTATTTTTGGTCGGAATTTTTTTTTATTCTCCCGCGCGCACTAGCTTAGGGGTCTTCAGAGGATGTCATCCATGAAATTAAGTCGGTGTGGCCTAATCAGAACTCCAGGCGGCGTTCCGCGGCCTCCAGAATACTAATTCCACATCGCCAGAGGCGGTATCCGTGACATGTGTCTGTGTTTATTGCAATATCCCGTGGAGCATGTAGTTGAAGTGCAGATTACATACAGTGTATGATACAATATATACTCATAACAAACGGATTCCCCTTTGAAATCCCTTCCGTACATACAAAATCCACGCACATAGTTTTCCGTTCCAGTTATTTTCTCAAGACACACTGGGAGGGAAAAAGAACTGCTGTGAGACACTGGTAAAGATTTTCCGTCATTCCTCCAAAATCTTTCGAAACGTGTGAAAATGAGTGTGAAAACGATCGATATTTTCCAGAGGCCTGTAATGTGGGTCACCTATCTAACTAGGCCACATGTTGAGAACACCTCATTACACAAGAAACCCGTTGAGCCTCGAGTCATGATATTGCAAAACCTGCAATATAGTTCGGTAAAGACAGCTTGAAGAGTGTGTATTTATTAAAGCGTCAGGATCACAAAGGCACGGGTACCCGCATCACCCACAGTCCTTTGCGAGGTCATTGACCCATCGTGAACAGCTGTGAGGAGGGTAATATCCTCCAACGACCGCGAGTAACCTCCGGAGGGGGTGACTTCCCCGTTCATCCATGTATACATGACGGTCAATGACCTTAGTTTGGGATTCCGGTACAAGGCGGAAATATCCACGTGATTACCCGGAACAACCGTACAGAAACTGTGCAATGTCGTTGACCTAACCACGGTGAATGTGTGATGAGCGAGCGTACATTGCCTTCTGAGGCAGGTCGTTGAACGGTAACGTTAATGCGGCACGAAATTCCTGGAAATCGAAGCCAGGGGAGTCACCAGTACCAGGAAGCTTTTTGCTTTGATTGACGACCACTAGAGATGGTAATGTGTCATTCTGACAAAATCGCCCGACGGGGAACAGTCGGCGCACAGATGCATGGTTGATAGGAAAGAAGTTTAAACGTCCTTGGTGATAGGAGCCTAGCTAGCTAAGAGATAAAGCTTGCGTATACTAGTAACATTGGAGCAGGATTCGCACATACGTGTGGGTGGATCCCACCATCTTTGACAGGATATCTTCATGGTCCACTAGGTAGCCTTCAGGGCCACATTCTACTAGCATGGTACGAGTCAGACTATCGCAAGCTCCCGGTATGCCTACGGTGATGAGAGTGTTTCCCGCCGGCCTAGCTCCGTTAGCACATGCCGGTGTTTTATTTACTAAGTCGGGGTCAATCACTTCGCGCGGGTTGTAATCGGAAGGGTCAGTAGGAAAGATAGGTTGTCAGAAAGTAAGGAGCTATGCTCAAGGGCCGGTAAAACACCGCCAGGCCGGCCTGTGATCTTGGATTTCCTTCTTTTTTTTTCTGGCAAAATTGATACTGAAACTAAAATTATCTACAGTTCTAGTTTAATGACAAGGCGAGGGAAATCGCAGAAAATGCCTTGCTACACATACGTGTACGTGCTTTCTCAATACAAGGCAGAATCGGGACGTAATGTTGCACTAGGACAAAATCAGCATCATTGCGCGGCTGCAGTAGTGCAGTCCGACCGCAAGTCATCTCCAGGATTTTCAATTGCATGGCAGCAATTGTCTTTTGGCTTAGATCTCCTTCCATATACCCAAACCAACAACAACTATACATGGATATTACAAAGAGAAAAGAGCGACATTTATGCGGCCCATTTATGCCCGAAGTCAATTCTTGGCCAATCAGCTTTAGGAAAGAACACTTCATAGAGTAGACCGCCTACCCCTACCAGTAAAGTTTTAACAATAGTAAGTAAAAAAAAAAAAACTTGTGGTGGTGTTACATTGTAAGCAACAGCTACCAATTGCGCATCGACAGAACGTACTGCGCCTGCGCGAAACCTGTAATGTATTGTGCATAGCACTTCTAAAGAATGTCTCGTTCAAGGTCATATTCGTGTATTTAATGATAACATCCCGTCTGTAGTTTTCAAAAGATATCGTCTGCAACGGGAAAAATTCTGATGTAAACATCTTTGAAAACCTGTATAAAATCCGGGTTTCGCGCAGGCGCAGTACGGTGTGCCGACGCGCCCTCTGACGGCCATGTTCACCTTGCAGCCCTTGGGAACGTGCGTGGGAACGAGAACCCGTTCCTGTTGGCGGTCAGCACCGCATGGAACCGCTGGCACAACCACTGGGCACATCGCATCCACACGCAACACCCTGACTGGACGGACGACCAGGTGTTCCAGCAAGCCAAACGATGGGTGGTGGCTACCTACCAGGTAAGGCCATGTGGATTTGTCTATGTGGATGACATCCTCTGGTAATCCCAAAATTGATGCGAGCATGCGAATAAATTGAAAGTTTATTGCAAATACATGCCCGAGGGCTAATTGCAGTTACAAACAACATAGAAAGAAAATACAGCGGTATGTGAGACCGTCTACGTCTAACATTATACTATATTCTACAACATAAAAAAAAGGTTGCCTTCATAATAAACTCTAATGGTCATGAAGGTTGAACAAATGACTAAACACAGTATGGTATGGCGAATAATAGACTTTTCATTTTTTTCGCATTTTCTCTCATTTTGACATTCCACGATATTAGTATCATTTCCCCATATTTCTTTTTGCTTTGTACGATTTGGTCGAAAATTTTTTGGCAACGGACGCGCGGATGTCATCCATATAATGAAGTCATTGTGGCCTAACTAAACACCGCCATTCCTTACTCATGGGTCTGTTCATTATATTCTCATCTGGTCCTGAGTATATTGAACATCTTTGTTTGTAGGAAATTACTTCATTCTATTACACATCATTACTCAGTAATGTTTCACGGGACCAATTACTGGTTATTTTTGCATGTTCATTCCGTAAATGCACAGATATTTGTGTACACACATATACATCGTAAAACATATGCATATTCTTACAGAGTTTATATTTTTGTCAGAACATCGTTTTATATGAATGGCTGCCAGCTTTTATCAACGATACCGTGGAGCCATACACAGGTGCGTCAGGTACCCTCATTTAACCCGGGCAAAGTCTGGATGAACTAAGGCCGTGTTTATGTGAAGTCACCCAAACCGCGATTCGGGTAACTCACATTCCTCACATCTGGTCCACGTGTCATACATTCCTTTCAAACCGTGCCCGATGACGATTCTCTGAAACTGCATTCATTGCTATGCAAGGTGGCGTATTATTAATGTCAGAGGTCAACGACCTGCTTGCTAGTGCCCCCCTCCAAGCGTATCTAGGCCGATTGCCGACGTGGTCCCGCCAGAGGCGGTGAAGCTCGTCCTAGAACGGACACATTATTTGACCATTACTGCTCTTTAAGTTGCTGCCACGTCAAATTTGGTATTGCGTATAAATAAAGAAATATCGCCCCGTAATCCATGACTAATCACATTGCGTTCAGACGCAAATCGCGATGCGGGAAAACCGATTCGAAACCACCTCTAGAAGTGGTTTGGGATCGAGGCGCTTTCAATGTGATTTGGAGCGTTCAGATGGAGCCACTTGGAACCGGCTTCGGGGTAAACCACATGTAAATCGCCTTCACTGACTTCACATAAACACGGCATCTAACTTAACTGCTTGCCAAACTGATGGGATAAATATGTGCATTTTATAGGTTCTCCATCGAGAACTAACGTGGGACATATCTACATGTAAAGACAATATGGTGATTTTTATGGAAGTCCATCTAGTAGTCTGTTAGTGATCATGTTACATGGTACACAACGATCACATTTTCAACAACTTCTGTCTCCTTCTTTAGGATAAGTAATGAGTAACTTGGTGACCATACTCAGACGGTTCGGTCAGGGGTGCTCCGGCCGGCCAGAGGAAACAGCCGGCTGCTACGATGAGTGCCAAACAAACTCTGGCCGGCCGGAGTAACCGTAAGCCGACCCGTTGAGTATGGTCACTAGGCTCAGTAATGAGTGATTTTGATAGAGAAGATCACGCAATCGAAGACAACTCCAATTACACAAAGTATTCTATTGAGCATACAAAAACATACATGTATGAAGGGGAAAATATTGTTTGTTTTATAAGGGTACAACCGGTTCGTGGACCCGTCCCCGTCTAACGTGTTCACGGCTGCAGCCATGCGGTATGGACACTCCATGGTGCCGTCAGCCGTCTTCAAACGGTAGGGTAGCCTGGCGTCCAGCCTATCGTGGTTGGGCTCTCTTCGGGGCGACATAGAGTTCTCCCCGCCCAGATCACATGACCGTGCGATGGGAGTATACGTATCATTAGGACTGTAGGAGCTTTGCTAATATACGCCAGAAAGCAGTTACTCAAGCAATTGGATATGATTTGGAAACGGTCAAGACTTTGCTAATATAGTTTTGAGGTGAAGAGCTCGTGCAGCCCCGAAGAGTGCCCGCCCTCACCACGATGGACTGAAAACCGGGCTAATGATAAGGATCAAAATTGGTGGTTAAGGTTTTCCAATGTTTAAAAAAAGCGTTCATATGTAGAACGGTCAGAACAGAAAATGTTTACTTCTGTGGGAATCTCAAACATCTGCACAGCTTATCACAGCCACGGAACTTTTGGATAACGCTTGATACCTTATACGTACAGGTAGAGAAAATCGACTTCCATCAAACTACCAGGGCGATTTGCAAGGGAAAGTGAGAACTTCATCAAATTGCGTCCTCTGTGCTCTTGAAGAAGTCCACAGCGCGCAACCGGTTTTGACAGGCAGCATAAAAGTTCTAAATGGAAACTATGAGGCGACGTCTCACTAGTTGAGGGACGACTGCGGTGTGATAGATGTCTGTTAGCTTGAAGAATGAATCCCCTCTACCTTATACTGACTTGAATGAATTTGACTTTCCAGAAACTCCTCTGGAGACGCGATGGCCATTCGCACTTGTAACACCTACTGGAATGTGGAGGTAAGACTGGAGGCTTAGCAAGTTTAAGCCCTGTTTTTTTGCGCTGTCTAAGCTCAATGAACTATGCATATTTAGATCTTCACAGGTTTGACATGGCAGGCCGTTCAGCGTAATATTACCAGCTGCCTCCACGCTGCCTGCGAAGATAGTGTGTTACACCGAAGAGCTGTTACGTTTTGATATACCATTGTTTTGTAAATTGGTTTACAATTCAGTTGTTTTTAACTGCGAAAAAACAATAAATCCATCTTGAATCTTGAATTACGTTATACTGGCTATTTGTCCTCTACTTCTACAATAGCCTTCACCAGAAAAGCCTGAGGACTTTTCAGTAGAATCATGGCTGAAAGGCGACCCGTTTTCCTATATAAACAGATCACCAGATCATCGAAATCACGAACCATTCGCCCTCCGAAACTCAGAACAATTGCTCAGTAAGAAAATGCTTTCTGTGCAGACTGTCTAACATCTAAAATGATCGGAAGTTGTAGGAGAACTATAATCATTTTCAGTTGGTGTTTATGGACTTTAAGGACTTTATGGACTTTATGGACTTTATGGACAAGTTGTCTCTTATGTTACTTGCTTATTGTTAATTGTCAGTGTACATGCTTTTGTATATGCTACTTTCCTGTGTGACATGTAGTGTTGTTTACATGTAGAACCACAGGAAGAATAGCAATTATGCAGGCTAATTGTGGATCCAAATAAACTGAAACTCATGGCACGCTTGTCTAACTGTTAGGACGTGATCCAGACTGCTGAGGACGTGGACGGCCTTCTGTCAGGCATGGCTGGTCAGATCGCAGACGGCGGGAGGAACATCGTATCAGAGGACCTGCAAGGTACGAGTAACATGTTCAAAACACGTCAACAATCTAAGATGTTCTCTTAAGAAGTAAAAAGTATGTACGAATCATTGGGACCAAAGGCTGATATAATATTCAGATATACCACTGTTAACCTTCGCAGAAAGAAAACATATTGTTTTTGCTCTGTTTTTCTTACTCTTCTTCTTCGTACAAATAAGGTCGACCTGGACAACCACGTCCAGCTGCCATGATGGTAACTGGTGCCGAAGCAGAGACACCTGTGGTGTTGGATTACTTTTTTTTATTTACTTCATTGGTCACCACAAAACAAGGCTCATGGGAGCCACTTAAAATGTTTTGGGTTACAGTACAGCCAGTGAGGACAGATGTTTGTTGACCTTAGACTTAAAGAGTTTTAGGTTATACTCATAGGGGAAGCAATCACGAGGTAGCTTATTCCAAAGTGATGTTGTTCTTGGAAGGAAGCTTTCAGCATGGAACTTCCTCCTAAGAGGTGGTGAATGGAGGAAGAAAGGGTGATTTGCTTCGGTGGAAGTGGCAAGACGTGTCTTTGTTGAGAATTTTCGAAGTGGGGGCACTAGCGAATTACATTATGAAGCAGTGGTTGGAGCAATGGAGGGGCTGGTCACAATATATCTTATATATGAATGTGTTGAAGTAAGAATAAACAGCAGTAGTTTGTCAGGATAGTTCATTTTTAATGTTGTGATTTATGAGAAGACTGATCTAAAGAAATCACGAATAGTCGTGAGTTGCACATAGATTGTCTATTACTGATGCAGTCGGCAGTTATAAAAAAAGAAACGGGAAAGTA